TAGCTGATAACCATGGTAACATTGTAAGTTTAAAGTTGAATTATGAGTCAACACATGAAATGAGATCCTGTTTCAGTGTTAAGACCTAAAAGCAAACTTCCGAAATACATGCTAAGCCACGTGCAGACGTGTAAGGCTTGGGAGCGGAAAGCAGGAAAATGTCGCTGGAAACCGTACAGGTTCATTTACACGCAAATGTGAAAATTAACACGACCACATTGAATGTTTACCACTGATTTTTTTTCCTTTTGCCCTTCATATTGTCTCACAAAAGACAAAAATATTTTGGGTTTCAATATTGTTTATTTAAAAATTATATATCTCCAATATTTGGTAAGTGACGTGGGTTGAACCTGCCATTTAAGTTATGATCTGTCAGTATCAAGACTAACATTCATACAATACAGCGCTTACAAGTTTTCCTTTCATTGAGTTCAAACCAGTTGCAGGTATTAGTATTTACATATTTACAGTACCTTATTACGAAATAGTTAGGCTGTGAGCGCTGCCTTTCTACAGAATAGATAAGAAGAGGGGCTTAACATTTTAATTAACGCTGTCAATTCACTGCAAACATATGAGGCGCTATCTAATCAAAATATGGCGCAATATTTTTTCACTAATTTAATAATTTCAGTGTGGTTTTGATCAAAAAAAGTGAACTTCTAATAACAGGTAGTACGTGCAATGGCAGCCTCGAGTCCACACAGGAAATTAAAGCTACTTCTCGGATTTTTCTTTGCGAAGACTCCTTTTACTTTGATTAAATGAAAACAAAAAAATTAAATACAGAAAGCATGCGTTAGACTATTGTATAGGGATAGTTTTGAAGCAAAATCTTAATAATATTTGTGTATCAAGAGATTGTTTCTGATTATATATATACATTACATATATAATTTTTCATTTGAATCGAGTTTTAAACCTACAAAATGAAAAAAAAAAAAATGAAAAGTACATATCGGCATCTCGCTGCTCCCAAAAGTACATTATCTGAGTGACAATCTGAAGTCGAGGGTTTCTCTCAAGGTCTCGACCCATCACGATGCTCAGTAGGAACAAACAGTGGGCGAATCAGAACACAGGTGAGTCTCAAATAAATGTCTTTGAAAACTCTCAACACGATTTGTTTGCTGTTGGCACAATCAGAGACCGAGTTTTTTTTTCACGCTCTCGCCCAATCACGGGTGCCCAAGAGATAAAGTAACAAGGAGAGCGAATCAAGATAACAGTTAGTCTCAAATAAATGGCTTTCTAAAACTCTCGCCGTCATTTCTTTGTATACATTTAATAAAAATGCAATTATAGGTCACAGTAATATTCCCTCTTCTTGTATGTAGCATTTTTTTGGACGATGTACAATGTACATGTATCTCTTCAAACGAGGAAGTAAGGTCGTGGAAAGAAACGCTTGGTTTCTTACTTCGTAGGCCCTACTTAAATCCAGACCTTTCTTCAGGTTTTTTCAACGACCCACCTCACGGCCAAATAGAAATGTTTGAGTGCTTCTTTTCTAGTCTCTAGCTATTTTTTTCTAACCTGAGGGGCTACCCTTTCTTTTTTATCTCCCTTAGCACCACTCTCATCCATCTACAGTAGGCTTATAGCTTCAGCTTTAGTATTTCATTCATGAGTAATTTACCATATTTTGCGAGACTGGAAACCATACTTGAGATGAAAGCTTACGATTTTGGGCAAGGTTCTCCAAAATTATAATATAGAACTGAAAAATAGTTTCGCAGATCTTTATTTTCTCAAAGGTTTTGGACAGAGTTTAGCTTAGTGATTATGAGGAATCTGTTGAAATCTTATTATTATTATTATTATTATTATTATTATTATTGTTGTTGTTGTTGTTTACTTATTTATTTATTTGGCTATAAAGTCTAACGCACGTTTCGTATAACAGCCCCAAATGCAAAAAAAGAAATTGATTGGTTGACCTCTTCCTCAAGACTTGCTATTAAAGTGTGGTCAATGTTTCTCCTCGTGCCAAAATTCTAGGAGTGCACGTGGATACCTCTCCTTCTATGGTCAAAATATCACACATTTTAAAACCATGCACGTTTCATATCACATGGACTCCTCAACCGCTACAGTCATTACTGTATTTTTCACATCTAGATTGGACAACTGCAACTCCATTTTCTATGAGCACGTCCTCAAGAAAAGGGAAAACGTCTACAGCGCATTCAAAATACCTCTGCCCGTGGCCTTAACCGCACCCCTGGTGACAGACACATCACATCTATCATCAAATAGAACTTCGCTGGTTACCCACAAGAGCATAGGTTCTCTTTAAACGGCAAACTTATGCATCACCGTACTTGAGTGAACTCGTCTTCCCTTACGTGCCCCCTCTCCACCAGTTACGCTCCTTCGGTCACGTTTTAACACTGTACAAGACCAGATTCAGGCCCGGGGGGGTTCGAAAGAACCGCCCCTTTTGCTGAGAAAAGGTCCACTCTGGGTAAAATTTAATCTAGGTACATGGAGTTTTTAAAGAAAAAGGTCCACTTTTTCAGAAAAAGAACCCCACTTTTGAAATTGCTGGCTACGGGCCTGAGATTGGTCACGTAGGCTACTTGTCACTTTTTTCTGCGTTTTTTTTTAACGGCACGGCTCTATATGATAGGAATGCATTTCCACATTAATCACGCGGTACGGCTTCCCTTGGCAATTTTAAAAATAGATATTTATAAAATATCTTTTAAAGAACTTTACGCCTGAAATTTTACGGATCTAGCATGTATGTTATATGACTTATTTATTGAAAATATTCGGATTACAGACTCTACATAGATATGATTATTGTTATAATTATCATCATTCTAAATACAATAAATATAAATAAAAAATATATAAATTAACAAAATGTACTTAAATTTATGATGGAATTTATTTCCTCAGTGAATCTTGACACATTTATTATGCTATTCTTAACGTTTTCTACAAGAATGACTTAACTGGTTATTCCAAAACAGCACTGCGTTCGTGTTATCGTAGTATCCAGCTACGGGAATAATCAAAATGCAACAAGATGAAGCAGGCTTTTAAATAAGAGAGACAAAACTTTCTAAACACGGGCACACGGTAGTAACTTTTCCACATATCAAAATCGGTCACAATTGCCATAATTTCGTTGTTTCTCACGATCCCACATCCTACGCTGCAAGGAGAAAAACGTTCATCACAACGTGAGGAGTTATATCACGAAATTAATGACGTGTCAACACGGAAAGACGTCCGCTCAAATTAAGTTGTTTCGCATTCCAGAAAACTGCTGTCGTCGACTTAATCATTCACACGAACACTACCGTCTTTAAAATATCAAGAAGGTGCGGTCCCGCTGTCATTTATTTCAATATAGTACGCTTAAGATTGGGAAAAAGTTATAATGAGCAAAAGATAATTAATAAATATTTGACATAATAATGATAATAAAAAATCTAAAAAAAAAAAATTCGGAGGGTCCTAGTAGGTGACGGTGGCCACCATGTACGTGCAAGTTGACGTCATGAACAGAATTAATTGTGGCAATAGTTTCGTGGTTTGTTTATGTTAATTTACAAGTACAGGAAAATGTCTGAAAATTGCATTAAGTCTTGCAACTATTAGAAAAATAAAGGAAAAAACAAACGTGTGAAAGCAAGTCTTGGTTTTATTGTTGGAAACCATAAATCGCCATTTTCCATTTTCAAATCAAATTTCCTTGGACTCTGTCCTTTTAATTAGACTGCCACTATTACACTTATCAAGCATACGGATATCAATTCTACACAAAAAAGGTGAACATTAAGCCATAACAAAATATATTCATTTTCTAGGCAACCAAACACCATACGCCCAAACTCTTAACTCTACTTCCGCGATTAAAATGACGTGCGTTACCAAAAGCATTCCCAGCAGTTTTCAGGCAAATGCAATTCTGAATCATAATGTCCAAACTGGTCACCCTGACACACTGCAAGCCCAAAATGCCACGTTTTAGTACCCATTTCAATCCCAAGTCATTGACAGAGACTAAACATTTACCCGCGAAAACAATTACTAAAGATATTCCCGTCATTACAAGATATTCAATCACCTTTAACGTTACCACCTGACCAGGTAGAAAACGAACATTCTTCAAAAGTTACACAGAGCAAAGAAAAATGCAATTCACTTATGTTGCGCTGTGAAATGATGCACTTATATATATTCCTGATAATAAGATTCTCTTTGGGACCAGGCTGCTATTTAAAATCTTATCGTAGGACGATGATGAATAAACCAAGGATCTTACTTGGGCAGATTCTAAAAGCGTAGTCGCATAATTATATGACTGACTGCCAGCAGATATTAGCAATTCGAAACGTACCTCAGCGAAAGTTGAATGTCATATATTTCAGCAGAAAGTAGAATGTCACCTAAAGGATGTCGTGCAATAGCAGTAGCTGTCTATATTGTTTACTGGTAATTCTTTAATTCACATGGGGGTATCAGGTGTTCTCTTACATTGTTCCCAACGTAAATGTTATAATCAATCAATGTAGCGGATGTTTGGCTACAAGCTAATTAAGATGCCAAATCACTTCATAACAAGTACAGGAATATGCTTAAATTACTAAACATTTCAATGTACGTGAGAACAGCAACACGTGCTAATAAACCACGTGAGCTTTTTGCTTTGGGAAGGGGGGGGGGGAGTATCTTATTGTCATGCAGTCCCACAGTCCTCTAAAGATCTAACTACATTCTTTGCTAAAGATTGAGATTGGTTTTGACCATTTTCTAGCATTAATCTAATAAGGATAAAGTAATAGCCTCACAGTCTGAGATTAAAGGTCTCTTGGTTTTTATGGGGAAGAGTTTATCAATACTAGGGAAGGGTATTAGATACACCGTATTAGTACAGACAAAACCATGTAATATATATATATATATATATATATATATATATATATATATATATATATATATATATATATATAGTGAGGAATATATATTTATATGCATACATATATATATCCTACTTTATACCTAATTAATATATGGAGACTTCTATTTTACTTTTAATTAATTTTAGCTATTTGCTCGCTTGATGGGTTTCTCGCGTCCTTCTGCTGGCTTCACAATTCACGTGGCTGCTATCCAGCTGAAACTGCATTTTTATAAGCAACAAGACCTGTAGTTAACACTGCCTCATCTGTTCACTGACGGGAATTGAACGTCTTTTGTTTTAGGTAAGTATAGAGAAGACAATCATATCTCTCAAAATAATGACAATATTAAGATAATATTACTTAAGTTATTTGGTTTTTTTATGTAGTTACAAGCTCTCCATGAGAATTTTGGATCAAGTGATATGGCTTGAGCAAAAGAGAGAAAAAAATGAAACTAATTACTCTTTTTTGTTCAAATCATAGTAAATCAAAATCAAAATAATAATAATACCTCAGAATTACTCCCAATATTTAGACTAAGACCACTTTTAAAGCAGAAATCCCCCTACTATAAATAAATAAATAAATAAATAAATAAATAAAGTTAAATAATAATATATTCTTTTCTCCAGTTTCAACCCAATTAAAGCATACTCGTTCACAATACGTATCTCATCCTATGATGGAATTTACATCTGATCTCAAAGGAAATAAAAAGACACTGAATCCACACATCCTACACTTCATGTTGATGTTCTTCTTGTTGACTCAATTTCAGTTGACCTATATTTAATTGACCTAGTTATTGTCGACCCAGTTGTAGAAGTCTTCCAGTCTCCCTGTCCACAGCAGTAGTTGTTGCTCTGCACAAGACAGGGGCTTTTGGAAGGTATCTTTAAGCTGATTTCCACAAAGACATTGGTGGGGGACTTCAGTGCGGCTCAAACTGGCGTTGCTGTTTCTGTTGTTCTAGCAAGCGTTCCAAAGGAGAGGGCCCTGATGTCCAAATTGACTGCAACCCCAATATGAAAACAAATAAATAAATAAATAAATATCATCACCGAAGCCAATGCTCTTATTTATTTGGTTCTAAATAAAGTATGTTATGTTACATTAATACTATATTACAAGCCATTATCATACGATGGCTTTAAAGCAATAATAACTCTTCCTTTGAGATTCAAAAATCTGCAAGAAATACATTGTAAACAACGCATGGAAATATATTATATTGCATTTTACCACTAAAACGGCCGTTATTGTAGTAAAACTAAAATCTGTGCTTGTCAGTAGGGCTTTCGATGCCTTTCTTCCCGGTCGTCAAGGCATTCGTTGCCAATGACGTTTGGGTGTCACGCAGATTCTCGCGTTCATTCGAGACCAAAATAAAATATGGCGCCAAACGCTAGTGCAGTCCGCAGACGTAAGTTGGGAGTTTTTGTACAGTGCGTCAGATAACGAACAGCCCAGAATGGCACACATTGTGGATATAAATGCATTTTTAACAAAAAGACGAATATATCTCATGAATCTTATATTATTGTTATATAGTGTTGTTGTTGTTTGTTGTCTGCCTTTCCCGCAGTTTTAAGTAGGTCACCAGTGACTATGCAATGTCAGAGAGGGCTCCGTCAGTTAAAATCTCTTAAGAAATTTTAACAAAAAACCGTACGTTTAGGAAAAAAACCCTGGATTAACTTTGAATGCAGGAATGGGGTTGTTGACCATTGCTAAGTACAGGAAAATTGCCGTTTTTTCCAGGAAAATCCAATTTTTGGCCAAAACGAAGAGTTATTATGACTTTAATTTCATACAAGTTCCGTTGAAACTCAGTGACAAGTTAACTTTTTGAAAACTAGCAGTTACACACAAAAAGCAATAAATAAACCATTCATAAAGCTTAGAAATTTAGACTAATACATTGCCTGCAATTTTTTAAAGAATGGATCTCAGAATACTTTCAACGTTGCTTTTTGTCTCACTGAATCTTCTCCCTTTTCTTCTTCAAAGACATACTTCTTACCTGAATGCTGTTGGACATCAACGGGTTCCCAGAGGGGGCACCAGGGGGGTTCTGCTGCTGGGGTGGTTGGTGTTGCTGGCCCCACACCTGGTCCCCAGGGTTGAACCCATACCCTAGCCCAAGCCCCTGGGCCATGCCCACATCACTGCCTCTGTCTCCTGCCAGACCAGGGGGGTCACTCCCCAGTCCCCGTAGCCCAGTGTCCCCCATGCCCAGCATGCCGTGGCTTGGAACCTTGGACCTTCCCTGTGGGTTGTCATTACCCACACCTTGAGATGAAAAAAAGGCATGCATGAGTACATGAAAGAACAATTCAATAAATATCTCATAAAATTAATCAAAAATGGTTGAAAAACAATTTATTACTCTGTTCTAGAAATGTACAGTAAAATAACTCATACAGTTGAACAACTCACTGTTTCCATGACACAAATTTTTAAAGCAAAGAAACCTTAAATTTATTTCATTTTTTCTTTTTCTTTACAGCAATGAGCTGAAGGTCAGCTAAAAACTAATCTCATATGCAATAATAAGACTTAGTTTCCTATTATAACATTTCTTATGGTGATACAAACCTTTTCCTTGTATAATTCCCTCCCTGTCACCCTCAGTGCCACCCCAGGGGGAGTTGCTGAACAGAGAGTAAGAGCCGGCAGATGGGTTTCTTTGAGCAACTCCAAACATTGGGCTACAGGAAATGTAGTGTGAGCATTGAACAGATATACAGGATGTGTCCATAAAAATACAGCCTATTTTTTTTATGGACCACCCTGTTATGTCATCCGAACTTGGCAGCTTCAATCATAACAAAGGAACTGTATATAGCAATTTTCTAAATTTAGGACAGAAGTAATGGTAAACCAAGAAAAGTAACATCAACAGTACGTTTTGAATTTACAGTTATATAACAGATTTTCATACAATCTTAAAATAATTTTCTTGATTCAAAATTTAAATCTTGGTTCCAAAATTGTGGATTACAATATTGTTGGAAAGTATGGCATCAGACAAACAAAATGGCAATGCGTGCTTCACCTAAACTCTTGTTATGTAATTATTCATGTTAGGCTGTATTTCCTGCAATCTCATTAGGACTGCACTCATCCTGGCATAAACAGCACGCTTCTCATTTACAATGAAACAAGCTGATTAAAGACAGTAATGCAAACATTCCATCATGCCTTACTTACTTTTGCTGCCGTGCCTGCTGTGGATTATTTGCCAAGATCACTTCTATATCTGATGTAGAGAAAGCAGCCCCTGGCTGGAAAAGGACAACACACAATATATATTTATTATTAATATACATCTCCCCAATTTATCTGGCATTTTTTAAATTTCATCCAACTATACAGCTTTGATGGCTACATTGTGGTACTTAATAAAAGGAACCCTGCTCTCTATTGCCAGTTTTCACTTTAGTCATGAAAATACGAGAAAGAGAAAGAAAAAGAGACAGCACATATTTACCAATTCTACAAGTGTAATGCCATATGATTCTCTCACCTGTATGTTGATATTATTCAAATCAGGGAAATTGATCTCATCCTCTTCAAAATTGGCAGGTGTCTGGAGCAATGAAGGGGAGGAGCTTTCTCTCCTCATAGGCGGAGCATGTCCTCTGTGGGCAGGCATCTGGCCCATTGGGGGTGGTATGTTAAGTGGAGCCAAGCCTCTTCCTTTGACAGCCATGCTTGAAAGATAAACAAAATCATCAGCGCTTGGATCATGCAGGAAGGAAGTGTTCAGTTAAGTGCACATGTACCAAACAAAACACACCACAAACAGGTCAGACATATCTATCACTGTAGGCAAACACGTGAACAGGAAACTAATGAATTTTATGGCTGAGAAAAAAATAAACTGAAGACCCACAGGAAATTCTTATCTCTTAATTAATACAGTAGTATGTCAAGACAAGAGGAATCATCCAACTGCCCCTATAACTATACTTCACTACACTACACTATACTACCTCAATCTTTTTTTATCAAGAAATGTAAGTGATAAAGTCCTACCTCTGTAGGTCCTGTATCAGCTGTTGCAGTGATTGGGGAACTTGCTGCTGGGGCACCTGCTGCTGTGGGGGGAAATGTCCACTTCCGCCTCCCCCTCCTCCACCTTGGTACAGCCCTCCTTGTATCTGCTGCTGTTGTTGCTTCTGCTGCTGTTGTTGTTGTTGTTGCTGCTGCTGTTGTTGCTGTTGCTGTCTTTGTTGTTGTAACTGCTGTAAGTACTGTTGTTGCTCTGGTGTGTGCTGTTGCTGCAGGAAGGGGCTGCTCCAGGCTTGCTGAGAGAATGGGAGTCTTGCCTCACCACCTAATTTATAAATCAATTACATTCATTAATTAACAACAAAAGGTACAAGTAAATGTTCCAATAAATTATTGAGAAATGATATAAACATTTGCTTCCGACTGTTACTCTCAAAACATCTGAAATAAAGATATTCAAATGTATATCAGATTTCCTTTCTGCATCATTTTACCTTGCTATTAACATCTTCATTCAACTCAGAACACTGCCTCCCCATGCTCCCCCTTTTCTGTCAACCCCCTCCTCTCACCCTCTAATAAAAATAATGGTTTAATCAAACAAAGACCTACCCCTAAATGAAAGTTTAAACTTTAGATTGTCAATCCCTTTGGTTAAAAATGCATAATAACGTATCACCAACTAGAAATTTACATTCTAATGAGGACCAACAGTTACCCATGGAGCTTATCCCTTGGAGAATTGAAAAATCCCAGAATGCAGTTAGTCATTATATTGATGGGTTATCAGAAAAATTAGACTTTGCTGTGTACCACATTAAATTTTAGTGTAGATTGGAAATTAAAACAGTGAAAGACTTCAGTCACTGTACATTGTGTAGCTGAGCATGGTCAAATCAATAGAAACACTTGTCAAATTTTAAAATACAATTGTCTAAGAATTAGATTTTGCAGTGGTTGAGTGGACTACTTAAAGTTAAGTCTGGTAAACTGACCATATGACACTTGCACTTTTCTTATATTATCAGTACACAAAATTATATTCAACAAAGAGATGCTATGCTAACCAAGCCAAGTTCCAATCATCATTCGGGTGTGAAAAATGACATTGTTTACAGCACTTCCTGACTTATTATCGCTTCCAAAGTGTGTTCTCTACCTGCACGGACAATCCCTAACACTTATTTGCCATTGCTATCTTTATCAAGTCTGTAGGTGACAAACGAAACCTTTGAGAAGAACAGCGATGGATTATTATGAGACTTGAATGACATGCACTTGCCTTGGTGTCCGTTTAGAAAACAACAACAATTTAGTCATCAACAACTTGGACATCATCTCGTGACCTTCAGTATATATGAATGATTGTGCCTGCAGTTATCAATATTATTTAAAGACTTTATGTAGCACTGTTAAAGTAAATATGCACATTTTTAAAAAAAATAAAATTTCAATAATACTTGTGTTTTAAACTTTTCACATAGGTATTATTTTCCCATATTAAAAATATTTTCTTAACAGCATTTTCAAAACACCTCCTGTGTAAATTTCATTGAAATACACACAAATAACAGTCAGCTGCATTCCCTTTTTCTGCTTTTTCTCTGATCGTTAAATAATAAGATGTCTAAGACAGAATGTGAAATACTAGTAAAAATGGGGCTACCAGCTAAATACCAATATAAAAATTCAAATTCAGTTAATTTCTTGACCAATGCCAAATTTTTATCCCTAACAATACATAAGGAGCTTGGAGTAACAGGCTAAACAATAGAATTAGTGCATAAGAGCAGCTATAAATGCACAATAGGGATTATCACAGAACCCCAGAAGCTTTATTCTTTCCCATAACTAAAAAATAATGCCTGTTCTTAAAAAAATGATGATATGAAAAAAAATTGTTTAACAAAAATTTTGCATAATCTGTTTATAGAGATTAAAAGCATATTATATAATAGTATAGACTGGAATTTAACATTATTAATCATACAGAAGAGCAAAAGTAAATTTGGGCTAAACAAAAAGATAAAAATATAAAAGAGCATGAAAGAACAAGGCAGTTTATCAATGATTACTCTCTTTCTTTTTTTGAAAATTATCTGGGATTTTGAAAAAAAATTTTCCTCTTAGTGCTTTCCAGCACTTATTTATACAACAGTACACTGTAAGGGCAAATCAACATCACATATTCCAAAGGTGCACTGTATTTTGGGACTGATTTGAGCTTAAAATGGAAGAACTTCCGATCATTTTTATATAATTATATATTTATATTTGAATTTAAAAAATTTACAACCATACCATTCTTTATTGATTCACAATTATGGTAGTAAATACTTTAAGGTGTGAGTAACAAACTCAAAATGTTTCCCAAAAGCATTCTTTAAACACTCTCTTAACTTTTGTCCCAACCTCATATTTTCATGTTTCTTTCCTCCCTCTCTCTCTCTCTCTCTCTCTCTCTCACCTTGTGCATTTGGCATTCTCTGGGGAGCAGGAGGCCCTTGTTGTGGACTTGGCATCCTTGACGGTATCCCAGCCCCCTGCTGGGCCCTGGGTATCCTGGCACTAACACCAATGGGGTTCTGTAGGGGAATCCGAGGGGATGGCTGGTGTTGAGGCATCCTCACCCCAGAAGAAAAGTTCCCCCTTGGTGCCCCATCTTGCTGCTGCTGTTGCTGCAGGAAAGCTGTAGGTTTGGGGACCATCTCTGCCACAGGGGCACCAGAAGGTTGTGAGAACTGGACACCAGAGGGCAGCATCTGCTGGGGTTGGGGTCCACCTCGGGACTCCAGCCTCAGGCCAGGCCGTATACCTGGGTCCACTTGTTGTTTGGGTTGTCTAATGAGAGGTGCTCTGGGCATGTTCGGCACCATTCCGGGCATCATACCAGGGTGGTGCTGTGGGGGCATGCCCTGGTGATATCCCCCAGGGTGAGGAGAGGGGTACATCCCTCCTTGAGATGATTGCTGCTGCTGCTGTTGTTGCTGTTGTTGTTGTTGCTGTAACAACCGAGGTGGCAGGTTACCATGGAGGCCAGATGGCAAGGGAGAGGTGGACTGGTTGCTACCACTGCTGCCATCTACTGGCAATTCTTCAAACAAGTGTCCCTGGCTGTGACTGGGGGAGAGGTCGGCCTGAGACCTGGACTGGGAGGGAGACAGCTGTAGGGGTTTTCTCTGTTCTATTTGTGGGGGTCCCTGGAGTTGAAAACAACAGACATGACAGACAGACGGACAGACAGACAGACAGACAAACAGGGTTATCACATATGTAGTGATTGGCATGCATGTAGTTTGACTGGCAGACATGACACAACTGAGAGACAAAGCGACTGACATGACACAATTGATAGGCAAACTGACTGTTGATAGACATGAAGCAACTGATAGACCAAATAATTGACAGACATACCACAAATGGCACAAAAAATGACTAACAGACATGACGTGATTAACAGGCACAAACAGCTGACAGACAAAATTACTGACAGGACATGTGATGCATAGAGTAGACATGTTTAATATTGACTGAGATAAAATGATAACTACAATATAACCAACCATGCACGGCAATAAAGGTTCACTGCATTAAGAATAAAGCTGGCACTAATTATGTCAACTGTGTTCACAGATATAACATTTCTTTTTTTAACTGACATAAAAATGATCCTTTGTTTTCATATTTCTTTGATATATTCACCAACACAGACCTGGTTTTGTGAGCCTTGGCCAGGAAGAGTTTTAGTGGCTTTATTCTGCATAATAGCCTGGAAAAGATGAAAACACGGGAATCTAGGACACCGAACTGAGCAAGATATTAATGTAGCCAAGCAATGGCAAGTCTAGTCTAATTAGTCTCTTTTCATGGTGGAATATTCCAGCAATTACTGAAACATTCTAGAAAACACATTAATAGTAAAAGCTGGCTGATGTTCAAAGCAGCAGCTGCCTTAGAATGCTTAGGTAACAAACAGTACTAATTCATATAGAGAGACCAATTTTTTTTAATTTGTAGTTTTGACTGAGATGAGATTCCACCTACCTGTATAGCCACATTCTGTCTGGAAGCTTTTCTTTCATGCTGCTGACTCTCAGAATCTGAAATATGAAAACAAGAATCATGAAACTCAAAATCTTAAGTTCTTTTACTTTCATTAAATTATCCTTCTACAATCATTTGATGGAGTAATTTCACAAGTTTTTTTTTTTTTTCACCGAAATTACAGCTAATATGGAGTGAAACAGCATGAAATTAAAACAAAATAGACAAATGCACTGTGGTTAATGTCTGTGAGAAATAACTAACCAAGAACAATTTTCCTTCATATCATTTTCTAACCAGAACTAATAAGTTGAGAAACTAAATGCTAGGCCTCTGTAACAAAATTTGATCTTCCTTGATAGACACAAAGGGTGAAAATATTACTTTAAATCTGACAAAAGGGGCAGATTTCACAAAAGAACTTAATACCAAAATGTGATCTTAACATTTAGACAAAAGATACTGGTCTATATTCATTTCAGGATTAATCCATTCTTCAGAAATTGGTTTAAATCATACATCATTTGTGTTCAACTTAGGTAGATTTCAACTGATTTATCCATGGTCAAAAAAAAAAAAAAAAAAAAAAAACCTAAAATCTTTTAGTCTAGTTACGAAGACCACCTCTTGGTCAACAGATCTTTTGTAACACTAGCCCCAATTTTTTATCTGAGACTTCAGAAACCCACCAGCAGGCAGTAGTTTCACATGATAGCTAGGTGCACTGAACTGCAGCTTGCCAGACTTCAGGACCTGGAAGTTGATGAGGTTCAGACTCGGAAACTCCTCGCACAGTGCCTTGCCGTGCTCCATCAAACGCTGGCACCTCAGCCGCGCCTCTACCTCACCAGGAAACAAATCGCTTGGGTACTTGCTGAAATCCAGTCTCCTGGTGGAAAGTACAGTTTTTAATGTCATACGTAATTAAGACGAAGGGAGCAAATGGAGGCAATCGGTATTCAAATTGATATGCATAACTTTACAATCCAGATATTAACTGACTGCAGTTAGTTTTAGTAAGTCCAGTTTATGTCACAGGCCTGCACAATGATGCATCAGTTCAATTATTTAAACATTCTTTAATTTAAAAAAATTATTTTTATTTTTAGCTTGTACTTGGTAAGCATGATTAAATAAATCAAATTATAATTCATTTTTTTTATTTCAACTATTTACATATGTTTTCTTTTTATTAATAACAATGATTTCAATTGTTTTACTTGTCCTTATAAACATTTATCACCACTGAAATGGTTTACTTACTCCTGACCCTTGGAGGTTGGCAGAAAACACTGCAGATCATAGTCTTCAGGCAAAGGGAGTTGTACATCTGAAAATATAACATCCACTTGCTTAAAAAGACTGTTATAATTTTTTTTCTGAAACTGTAAAATCACATTGGTAAAACTGATTTTTAACACTCTATATACCTTGAAAAAAGAGATACTTGGTTATTGATATTGTGTAATTCTACAGAAGCCTAACCAACACTTACATTTCTCCAGCCCTGTGGTGTCCTTGACTCCAACATGAAACTGGAGGTTGTTCAGAAGCTTGCTCAGGTTACTCCATACACTGAAGAACAAAAAAATAACTTTCACATTCCTTTGTTACTGTTTTACTGGATGCTTTAACCAAAGAAGACATGTTTCTTACATTTGAAACTCATATCCTAAATACTGTAACACTGTTATACAAAATTATAGAACAAAACCCAAGAAATAAATATAAACAGATACATAAATATGTAAAACAACAATCATTCAATCTCATTTCTTCATGTAAATGAATGTATTTAAAAAGCTGATAAAAACTTTTAAATTAGTTTGTTTCGTTTTCTACTTCACCTCCATCTTGTAACCCTACTCACTTTGGCACTGTCCAGTCTGACTGACCAGTACTTACTTTGAGCCCTTGAACACTGGTTTGGCCAGCATGTCCCTGTCCAGTCTGACCCAGTCCAGCAGTATCTTGATGGCAGGCAAAGTGTGGTGGTCCTTGGCCTTCTGCTCTTGTTTAGGTGTGAAGTGGAGAAGGTGACTCAGCATGGTGGCTGGAACAGGCCACAGAATGCATGAGTTGATAATTCTTATTGCAGCAATAAATATAATAAATGTGTCACTTGAAATTTAGTTCAAGCCCAAGAGATACTCAGTAATGTGTTAATTGTGATCTTTCACTTCAGCTCTGTAGTAAACAAGTTTTTTTAAAAAATCTTTTATTACTTACTGTTGTGCTGACAACTGTATCATTCACATAACAGATCCAACTAACAGAGTTACAGAAACATTAAGTTCCCGCTTCTCTTACCTATGCTCATGTACAGACTACAAGTAGACTTTTGATCTGTAAGTTTAAAGTGCAATTTCACCATCAGACAACAGCAAATAATAATAAATAATAACTAGAGGATCAGAGAGGCGATACCGCCTCTGGATATTGTACCACCAGCTGGAGTAAGCGCATTGGTATGGACCCTCCCCCCCAAAAAAAAAAAAAATTGAACACCACCACCAGTCTTGTGTTTGACAAAATGCAATAAACAAGAGTTCTCAAAATATGCAACAAGAAAAAAAAAAATCGAAAAAACAGTTAAAATGGTCCAATCAAGGAGATGTTCAAATTGACCTGTATTTTCCTAACACTGATCACTCCTGTGATTTTCAAGACAATAGGCCTATTGGTTTTCCTTGAAATGCATTATCAGTATTGCATATACCGGTATGCTGACAAAAGAGAAAACCTAGGGACAACACTGGGCAGATCTCTGCTAGTTTTGAAGATATGAAGGGAAAGAAAATATGCAGAGTTCAGTTTGTGGTAAAAAAGTTGGTCAAAGGTCAATTTCAAGGTCACAGCATATGACTTCCTGTATAAGTTCAATAGTAGCTATGGGCATTTCTTTGCCAATGTTGGAGATATGAAGGCCAGGAAACATGCAAAGTGTAGTTCATCATAAATAGTAAGTCAAAGGTCAATTTCAAGGTCACAGTAAGATTGCCAGTATATGACTTCC